CTCATCGAAACTGACTGCAGATGTTTAGTACGCTTGATTTTCGGTACGCGGGCAGAGCGCTTCATATCGGCCTGAATTGTACTTTTGACTCTCTCTGCGACTTTCCGCCTGCCATCGACTCGATCCCCTTCGACAATTCGCCCCCCCCTCCCGATTTTTTTTTACCTCCGTTTTTTTTTTTTGCGGTAACCATAATGGTGGTCGAGTAGATCATGTTGTGCGGGGTGGAGAACCCTCACTCCGCGCAAGGGGAATGATCGCACCACGTTGTGTTAAAATGGTCAAGCACCCTCGAGGCAGTTACACAGTGATGACAACTGTCTCTGGAAGTGAAAGCACCGGAAAGTAAATTAATTCATACGCAGCTGTCATCCGTACGCAAGGAAGTAAAGTATGCACAAGATGCCGAAAACCCTTAGCAGGATGCAGCGCACCCTTCATGCGACTCGCCGAATATCTCACGGCGCTTCGCGCTTGGTGATGTGAGAGCCTGGTCCGGTGAGAACCCGGCGTGCTCCGTCCCGGCTTTGTAGGGATGCGAGGTCAAATGTCTAACGACCACGGCATGCACCCCCCGCCCCCCCCTGCCCCCCCCCCCCGGCGTTTGCCATCGGGGTTGGTTTTTCATCGCTTGGCAACGACGCTGTAAAACAAGCCGCCCCCCCAGGTGTTTGCCATCGGGATTGGGTCTTCTTCGCTTGGCAACGACGTTGTAAAACAAGACAATTCACCTCTTGAACTCGGCAACCAGATTACCGGTTTTTTATACCTCCGTTTCTTTTTTTGGCGGTAACCATGATGGTGGTCGAGTAGATTATGTTGTGCGTGGTCGAGAACCCTCACTCCGCGCAAGGGGGATGATCGCACCACGTTGTGTTAAAATGGTCAAGCACCCTCGAGGCAGTTACACAGTGCTTACAACTGTCTCTGGAAGTGAAAGCACCAGAAAATAAATTAATTCATACGCAGCTGTCATCCGTACGCAAGGAAGTAAGCACAAGATGCCGAAAACCCTTAGCAGGATGCAGCGCACCCTTCATGCGACTCGCCGAATATCTCACGGCGCTTCGCGCTTGGTGATGTGAGAGTCTGGTCCGGTGAGAACCCGGCGTGCTCCGTCCCGGCTTTGTAGGGATGCGAGGTCAATGGTCTAACGACAACGGCATGCACGACTATGAGTACACCCACCCCCCCGCCCGCACCGTCTTGTCAGCACATCAAGCCGAAGAACTCACCCCGGCAGCAGCAGGAGCGGCAGGAGCAGCAGCAGCAGCAGCAGCAGCAGCAGCAGCAGGGACACTGGTCGAACGGGCAAGCAAATCGCCCCGGCGTACTTCCTCTGCCGCGTTACGCGACCGCAATGCCGGGTGGAGCTCCCGTGTGCCCTTCCCCCGTTATCAAGGTTCCCATCTACAGCACTCTTTCCGAAGCCATCGAACACCAGCAGAAACAGCAGCAGCAGCAGCAGCAGCAGCAGCAGCAGCAGCAACAGCAGCAACAGCAGCAACAACAGCAACAGCAGCAACAACAGCAACAACAACAACAGCAGCATCAGGTGTCGCGGCACGCATACCCCTCCGTGCCGTTGGGCGGTGCCCCGCCCCCTCCCCCTCCGCCGCCACCGTCAACGTCCGTCGGGGTTAACGCCCGTCACGGTTTTGCCGCCGTCATGTTCGAGGCGCCCGCTGCCCCGGGCCGCCAGTCGCCTAGCCTGACAATGGTCGGAGGTAGGGACCAGAGGCTGGCGCATCAGCATCAGCATCAGCAGCAGCAGCAGCAGCAAAGGTGGCAGCAGCACCCTGTGCTTCGCCGAACCCACAGTCTTCCCGCCGAGGACGAGCGTGGGAGGGAGGCTGTAGCGGCGGCGGCCGTGGTGTCTACCGGCAGTCTCGACGGCAACGACCGGGCTTCCCCCAGGGGTGGCGTGGCGCCGCAGGTGAGCGAGGGACATCGATGGTGATGGTGGTGCCCATCTCTCCACCACCCTCTAAGTAGTTGTATACATACCCCCGCCGGTGTATTTTTGTTTATCGTTAGTTGGAATAATGTGTATTTTCATGTTTGAGCGTGCTTGCGGCGGTGGCTCTGCGGGAGGGACACATCTTGTTGTTGACGGCCAGCCGTTGGAGTAGGTGACCAAACGAGGATTGTGCATGCTCTTGACCCGATCGTACAGGCGAGCGGGCACACGCTTGCTCAGCGCGTCACTTCTTCGGACACAAAAGGCGGAAGTTTGCCTACTGCCGCCTGTATTCCAGCGTCACATGAGATGAGCTCCGTTTGGTTAGTACGCGGTGTCGATGTAGGCATGTACTTGATTTTTTTCCTGGTCGGCGTGGACGCCGGCAACCCTTTTTTTCTACGCCAGTGCCATCCTCCCGTTGATTGTTCAATATTCATTTGTTCATCGCCATGTGCTTGTTGTTTTCGTTCACCTCCTTATCTGTCTATTGCGGTAGTAAGCAGTCCTTATCCCCTCTCTACGCTTTTTCTCCCTTGTTTGCTCCCCCGTCCTACCTACACAGAGCCGCCCCTTCGGCGCCCCGTTGGCGATGCCGGTGCCGTTGCAAGCACCTCGAGCCCAGGGATCTAGGCAGGTGAGTGAGGTTGGCAAATGTTGTCTGCCGTTTGAGAGTGAATCGTGGCACTGTCACTATCTGCTTGGATACGGGAACTCCACGTGTCAGAGGAGATTTTGGGGGGGCACTATCCGCTGTGCGACAAGCACGGGTGTTGGTGAACCACGTCCTTCAGCTTGAGACAGGCGTCAAGAAACTTCGCAAATGGTTGCCAAAACTTGGATGTGTGGGGAATCTACTCTCCCCGTGCAGTAGCAACCATAATAGCCGGCTTTTGGTACGACCAGGGACTCACGATTTTTTGTACCCGCAGCAGCCGATTCTCCCACGCGCGTAACCACAGCCCGCAATTTATTCTAGTCGGGTTCCCTACGTACGCCGCCCCCCCCCCC